CCACCAGTCAACCTGGAGAACACAGACTCGGTTTGTCTTTTGACAACCGAGTGGAACTGCCGGGCCGGCGCCTCCCCTGCAGGACCCCTCCCTTGGCCGAAAAGAAAACCAAATAAACCTTGAACAGCCTTGGCTTCGGATGGATCTCCCTAGCGGCCCTGGTGATCCCCTCTTGAGTTTGGCGGGGACGTCGGGGAGAGGGCTCTCGACTCTGATCCCCTAACCCTTTGATTCAGGGCCCCGTGCCCGCCAGATGCAGTATTAGTCCTTTTAAAATATGCCCTAGGAAAAAGCCGCTTCCCCCAGTCAGCCGCCAGGTTTGGAGCTGGGATGGGCCTGACAAGAGAGGGATCCTCGTTCTCCAGTCCACATGTGGGCAAGCTGGAACCAAGATCCAGCGGAAGGTGATAATCTGGGCCAAAAGTCCCCAGAATCCCGCCGAACCTGAGCGGCTGGGGGCTCGGGGCGTGGGGCCGGATTCAGGCAGCGTCGCTGGGCTTGCGGTGCCAAAGCCGCATGTCTCCAAACGGACGGTAGATGGCAGCAAACCGCATAATTTGGGTCAGAGCGAAGTGTCTAAGGGATGATTTATACCCCGCCAAGACTACAGGAGAAAAAGACCTTTAGTCTGGGTAGGTTTGGGGAATTTTTCCTTTGAGAATAGGCTCCGAGTGCCGCGGGTGCTGGCCGAGAACTTCTCTGGCTTCGCAGCCGAGGGGTCCCTTCAGGCACCCATACTGGACCTGCTTCGAGGGCATCTACCTGTGCCACCAGGGGCCCCCTCCCGCGCCACAAGTGGCTCTGTCTCTCTCTTTCCAGCTCAGTATTGAGAAGGCCAATATTCCTCTGTGCGCATCCAGACCCTTCAATCCCTGGGCCACCAGAGACCTGAGATTGAAATCTCTGCATCTGGTCCTTAAAAAGAGGAAAGCAATCACCTATTTCTGCAAACCAAACTAAATCACAGTCTCTCCTGCTTCTCGCTCCCTAAGTCCCTTATCTCTCAGCTGGCAGCTTCCCCAGAACCCCTCTCTATTTTTAAGTCTTCACCTAGCGACTGGCGCCTTCTTCAACCCCACCAGCTACTTTAGGAATCTCGGCCTCCCGCCCCACCGTTCTTCTCCCGGCTACCTCACCCCCACCCCAGGCCTGGCTCGGGAATGGAATCAGGCGCCGGAGGGACAAGACTAGCTGTCTGAGCTCAGTGCCAGGCAGCTTTCTAGTCCAGACACCATCAAATCCCTAATGGGAATTTCTTTTAATTTTCTTCTCTTTATTTATTTTTTTTTGTGTGTTTCCATGCCTAAACCAACGTGTTAAACAGCTTCTTCACAATCACCACATTTGGATCCAGGAAAGTTTAAACGTTTCCACATCAGACACACATGGCAATTTTCTCCTCCACAGAAATCCACACACCCCATACCAATAAAACACAAGGTACAGAACCAGTATTACACAGAAACCAACACGCTGTAACCTACCGCCGTTAAAAACCACAAAATTGTCTCTCTGCAGAGAGAGCCTCCCTCCTACGGGAGTGGCCAAAGATCTGAGCATTTTCAGGAAGGCTTCTTGGGAGGAGGGGGTCTCCCTCAATTTGGGTGCCTCCACCCACAGCCCTTTAATTTCAGACATGTTTCCGAAGGGAGATAATGAGTATTTCTCTGTGAATTGTTCTTTCTGTATCTCTCTAGCCGCCTCCTCGCCCTCGCTGGCCTCAACGGAGATTCCAGGCCCTCCAGAGACCAGGACGTCTCTCAGCGCCACCGCCCCTCGTGCCAACACTGCCGGAAAGCCACGGATACCCGTACCCACACCGGGCAAGAGAACTGTGCTGGGGCAATTGGGGGAGGCCGGAACCAGGGAGAGATGGTGGGAGGGGGAGGGGGCGCAAACCCACAGAGGCCGTAGCAACCGGCTTTATCCCGGCACCCCAAGCCCAGACACCCCCTATCCTTTCTTTCACCGCCCTCTAGCTTAAAGCTCTTCTCCCAGCTTAAAAGGGTCACTTAGAGCTCGCCTCCGTGGCCCCTTTCAGTTCCTCCGACCATCTTCCCTGCCTTGCTTCTCCTCCAGGAAGCAACCACCCCTCTCTCAGCCACCGAATTTCCTAGGCAGCCTCTCCCTGCAGCGCCCAGAGGTGGGGTTCAGCCCTGTCTTGGAAGAGAGGGGGAGAGAGACAAACCCAAGCCCCACCCCCTACAAAACCGATGTAAAAGAATAAGAAGAAAATTGTAGAATCTCCCTTACCTTTGCAGACCTTGGGGTTTCTTTCCTCCGATTGAAAGGAGTGGGAGAAAAGGGGGGGGGGGGAGCGTTCGGTTTCTTCTTCATCTTCCAGATAATATTGTCCCAACCTGAGAGCCGTTGTTTCCCCTTCTCTGACTTGGGAGAGAGGGTGTTTCGCTTTTCTGATATTTGCATAGAAAATGGAGTAAGTTCTGGCTTTGAAAAATGGTATCAGGCTGCAGTCCTGGGCAGATTGTCCATTTACTCTCCATGATGACTAAAATCCCAGATCAGCAAGCAAATTAACTTAGAAATTAAAATTATTTTTGGTTCTCTCTTTTGTGTAATTCCCACCCCTCCTTCTCTCTCTCTCTCTCCCCCGCTCTCTCTTCTTTTCTCTCCCCCTCGGTTTTCCTCTCTCTCTTTTGCTTTATCGAGCTGATACTGAAGTATAAAAATATCAAGAGGCTGGAGCCCTGAAGGACGACAGTGCTCCGACCTAGGTGTGGTGTCCAAAAGAATGCTGCATTATAACCACCAGGGAAATGATAAAAAGTTCATGTTCACGATCGCCCGGCCACATGACCGGCGCTGGCCAATCGCTGGATTCAACCACTCATAAACTTCTATCACAAAGTTGTAAATTTTCATAAAACAACAAGGAATTTATTGCATTTCTTCATGGCTGCTCCACCAGCAACCCTTTTCTCAGTCGCCATCTTCTTTTCTTCTCCTTCTCGATTTTTGGGGAAACCCCAATCTGAGAAGGTGTGAGATTTGGGGAGTGGGGAATCAGATAGAGGAGGCACAAGCATCCATCTGGGAAGGGGGTTCTTTTTGGAACCTCGCTATTCTCACTGGAGCTCTATCCTTTTCTAGTAAAAAATTCACCCCAAAACCTCCATACAGGGTCTTTTCTAAGGCAATTTGGGGGTGAGTTGGGAGCAACAGTCAATGTCCGGAACTGCCACTAGCCTCGGGGAAAAATGAACGCGTCAAGGCCCCCTTTCCCCCTCTGAGTGCCCCCCTCACTCTCAGCCCTGTAGATGGCAGGACCCCACCTGCGAGGGCTTGTAGCACTGCGGGTGTGGGGGCCTAGCTTTTGCCCCAAGTAAGGTGGCGCTAATGGAGGCCAAGGCAGACACTCTAGCCACCGAATGATTGCCTCTGCACCCCAGGAATTGGAGGAGAGCAAAGCCGGACCTGGACACTTGGCTCTCTCGCCCAATGTGCACTTGCCCAGATTCCCAAGGACAGCTCCCCTAGCCCTCTGCGGGGGGGGGAAAGGGGTGGTCTGCAGTCCTTAATGTGGGTACCGCAGGTTTAGGAGCCTTTTACTTAAAAATTTAGAGTAAACAGATTCTCCCAAACCATGATTCCTTTCAATCCTCTTCCCTTTTCAGTACCCAATGCCTGGTTTTTAAATTTAAATAAGCCAGGATTTATAATCGAATAAATACTAAAAATCAGCTCCGAAGGTCTAGACGGTGTCCTCCGGTGTTTCTCTCTCAATCGAGGGGATATTTTGGAGCCAAACAACCCAAATTCACCCCGGGTTTCCCAGGTCCCCTGATATACGCCGGTATTTTGAATTGAGCTACCAGCGCCCAAATTCAGGAAAGGAAATAACCTCCCTCGCAGAATGTTATTCTTTTTCTCTTTCTCTGTACCCCGGAGAAGATTTCCAGGTTGCCGGCATCGCGGACAGCGGGCAGAAAAGCGCGGAGGCAGCCGGCGGAGCCCGGGCGGCGGCTGGGCCGCCGGGCTCGGAGCGGCCGGGATGCGGCCACAGCAGCCGGTAACTCGCAATGCTCAGTCTCTCGCTCCCGGCGCTCATTTTTTTCTCCCACAATTTTAAGTTTTACTTGGGTCCGTGGGTCAATTTAGAATGAGGTCAATTAAATGAAAGTAAAATAAATTGAAATAAAATAACCGAATAGCTCTTGCGGAAAATATTTGCGGGCTGAGCGGAAAGCCGGGCGCATCTCGAGGTTGGAGGCCTGTCTGGGCGGCTGGGAGGTTTCTGCTCGCCCGCCCGGCCTGTGCCCAGCGCCGCCTGCCCACCCACCCGCTGGCCAGAGAAGGAGTGGATTTGGGTGGTCACCTTCCCTTTCCTTCTGCTCTTCCTTAGCTTGGGGCCTAGCACTTTGAATTTCAGCTCTGTCTGTTTGTGCCCCGTGGAGGTGCCGAGCCACAGCCTGGTGTGAAGGCTTGGATGAGGAAGGGTCTGTGGAACGCTGGGGTTTGGTTTGGCTTGGTTTTGTGAATGTGTGTGACTGAGCGTGTGGACTCAAGGACGTGTTTACTTGGGGGCAAATGTGAATTTGTGTGTTTATAAGCCAATGTGTGAGTGTTACCCTGGTATGTATAAATGTGTCTGTGAGTGAGTGTGAATGTAGGTTTACTTGTGTGAGTGAATGTGAATACATGTGTTCTGGAAAGGGTTTGGGATGTGTGAATGCTTGTATATTTATTTGTGAACATAATGAATATGGGTGTTTGTGACTCTGTATGACAAGGTATATATTTATGTGCAATGTCAGCCTGTAACTAGATGTGATTGTGTGCGTTTGTGTGTCACTGTGTGTAAAAAAAAATAAGTAAAGGGACTACATATGTGTGGTATCTGGCCAGAGCAAGGGACACAAGGAAAAAAAGAGCAGATACCAGCACATTAAGAAATGAGCCGCAGCAGAAGTTGGGCACCGGTATGCATGACTATCTCTCACCCACTCCCAGCCTTAGAGAGACAGAAAAGAGGACATATATTTATTTTTAATTTCTTTTATTTCTCCATCTTTCAGGTATACATAGAATGGAAAGAGGATCACAGGGCTGGCAGGAGCAAGGAGCAGCGGGCAGACCAGGTGCATAGAGGGGACACTTGAGCTAGTTGGTGGGTCCTAGGGGCTCCCTAAGGCCCCTTTAGTGCCACTACTGGGAAGGCAGGGGGCTCAGGAAGTCAGGGAACCACACACAGTCCAGACCCACAGACCACAAAGACAGCATCAAAGAGGGGGCTTACAAAACAACAAGATTTTACCAAAGACCTTACAATTAGCGACATAAAAGAAGGGGAGGCAAATTCCAGAAAGCTACGGAACAGGTAGATGATGTCCTTTCGATATTGTACAAAACAAACCCGACGGACTTTCCTATAGGTAGTATTTTTTTCAGTGTTAAGAAACCAAAATTTCACCTTCTCTCCTTAAAAAAATTTTAACTGCTTTCCATTTAAATAGTTTTGTTTTTTGTTTTCCTCTCTATTTGACTTGAGTTTCCTGGTTCAGTCCCCAGGGCTGAGCTTCTCTTTCTCTCCCTTTCTCTCTTCTCTTCCTCTGCCCCTCACTCTTCCTCATCCTCCTCCACCTCGGCCTTGTCCTGGCTGGCGGCCCCGGGGCCTGAGGTCTTGTTCTCTTTTTTCCACTTCATGCGGCGGTTCTGGAACCAGATCTTGATCTGTCTTTCCGTGAGGCAGAGCGCGTGCGCGATCTCGATGCGCCGCCGCCTCGTCAGGTAGCGATTGTAGTGAAACTCCTTCTCCAGCTCCAGGGTCTGATAGCGGGTGTAGGTCTGGCGTCCTCGCTTGCGGTCGGTCCCTGCGCAGAGTATTCACGGGAGAAAAATCAGTGCGTGCAGAACAAGCCATGACAACGAAAACCAGGCTAGTGACCCTGGAGTGCGACTCTAGGCCTGGCCTGAGGGCTTTTCTCAAAAAGAAAAGGAGACCGCCTTATGGGTCCAGTCTAGCCCTCCCCCATCCTGTTATGGAATGAGGAGGAGGTGAGAATTTGCAGATTTCCTTGGCGCAGTGGAGTTGGTCTGAGGGCAGTTGCCCTCTGATGACTATTTTTCAATGAGTGGCTGAGGTTCAGGCTGTCCTGCCTGCCCACCTGCCCAGACTCTCAGCCCTCCAAAGCAATCTTTGGGCCTCCGGGAAGGCACAGGGGGAGAGGAGACACAGCAGCCTGCTTTGGGGTGGAACATTCAGTACCTGGCTGGCGGGGGCAGACGGGCAGGGGAGAGCTTCCCAGGTTAGGCCCCAAATCCTGAGGAGGCTGGAGGGAGGTTGTGCTGGGGGAGGTGCTGGTGCCAGCCCTCCTAGGAAGGAGACAGTGGGAGGAGGGGTTGGGGGCCTAATTTCAAGTCAGATAAAAGCCAAGCTGAAATGTTTATGAGCAGAAAAATTTGGGCTTTAATAAATCAGCTGGAAAGGCAGTTGAATTATGGAGCAGGTAATGGGGACTGTGACCACTAATACTGATGGAATAAGAGCTGGGCTTCTCTTGGCCCTCAACCCTGGCTGGACTGGGAGCCTCTGACCACACATCTTGGGTCTCCTGGATCTTGAGAGAAGCCTCGGAGTTCAGGGCAACAAAAGAAGGCTGTCTGGGACAGGCTTGTCAGGAGACCCCCACAGAGCCTCTGGTCTCTTGGGGTTTCTGCAGTAGCTGCCTCAGTGGCCTGCACTCTCTAACTCTTGATTTGACTTCTTGGAGTCCTTGTTTCTCCCCCAAGAGGACATCCATCCTTCTGGAAGGACACTTGCAAACTTGTTGGCCAGTTCTCCAGGGGTGCTAGGAAGGGCACCTGAGGAAGTCAGCTGGCCTCCCCATGAGGCCTCTGCTCCTTTCTCTAGTTCTCCTGCCTCCCCCTTCCCAAGTTCACTGGGGGGTCAGAAGCCTCTCTCTTTTGGCCTCAGTCCCCCTCTCTCCACCTGCCTCTGCGTCCCCGACTGAATCCTCATCTCCTCTCACACGCCCTCCTCCCGCCAGGCCTCTAGAGCCCACCTCTAATTGTCCAGAAGGGAATAATGGGGGAGCGGGTTGGCTGGAAGGAAAGGGGGAGGGGAGAACTGCTCAGAGCTACAGCCCCCTCCCCCAGACCTTATCCAAGCTGGGGCTGAGGGGACACACCCAGAGATGAGATCCCCGGCGGGGGAAGGGAGAAGGGAGGGGGGAGACCCTAATGGCTATTCTCTGCAAACCCCAGCCTTCCTCCGCAAGACAAACGGCCTCGTCTCCAGCCCGTGCCGGCGCGGCTGATAAATATTTAAAGCTAAAAGGCCGGGAGGAAGGGTGGGGGGTGGGCTAGGGGCTCAGAGCGCCGCGGCGTCGGCGAAGAGGGATCCGCCAGGGAAGCAGAGCGAGCCTGAGAGCACCAAGCAAAAATGGGAGGGGGGCGGCGCGCCGTGTCGCGGCTCAGGGGGAGGGGGCCGCGTCCCCGGGGCCGATCTCCTACCAGGAGCACTCTGGACGCGAAGAGGGGCGGTTGGCCGGGAAGGGGGCGCTTTCCGGGATATGTGCCCGGGCCGCTGCGGCTCGGGACGGCTCGGTGCGCGGCGTTACCTGAGCTTCGCATCCAGGGGTAGATCCGGAAGTTACTCTCGGCCGCCAAGTCCGAGTCCCTCTGCTCCTTGGCGCCCGCCGCCTTGGCAGAGTCGCCGGGACACACCCCGGAGAGGTTCTGCTCAAAGGGCGCGCAGTGCATGTTGAAGGAACTCGGCTCGAGCCCGTAGCCGGCCGCGTAGACGCCGGCTGCGCTCTGGCCCGCCATGCCCCCCCCGCCGGGGTACAAGCCCTGCATCGAGGCGGCGAAGGAAGCGCCCGAACCGGCTCCATAGCCCGGGCGCTGGGGGTTGGAAGCAAACGCACAAGAAGTTTGTTCGGGGAAGGCTCCGGTAGCGAAAACCGAACTTGCGGCAGGATATTTAGAAAATAAAGCATTCGCATAATACAATGAACTCATAATTTGGCCGGATGATTTGTAGGCAGGGACGTTTTAGTGTCGGTTTTACGAGATTCCTTGATATATTACAGAATTAGAGTCCAGATTTACACCAAAAAGGACCCCCTTTTTCCTCTCTGGACCACGTGACCCCACCCACGTGACGTCCCCTCAGCCAATGGCCGAGCAGCCTCCCCACGGCTCCCGGTAATGTGGAAAAAATTGTGTGGCGTTGGATTTATAAAATATGATCAATAATGAATGGGAAAGCCAGGCCCTGTGGATTGGGGCTGGGGGGCTCCAGGGCCGCTGTCGACCCCCGTGGGCTGGAGGCAGCTTGCAGGCGAGATTTGGGGGAGGAAGGGATTGAGTGGAAGGGAAAATAAATAACCTGAGAGGGATCCGAGTTGTCACCACCCCCCATCCTCCCCAGCCCGTTACCCAGACAGAAACAAACGCAGGGATTGCACACAACTAGTGGGTGGGGGCGGGCAGGCCAGGTCTTTATTAATCTGGAGCGATTCAGCCTGGCTGGCCCTTTGGGGAAACTTGGTCCGGACTTGGGCCGTTTCTCCTGAGGTGAGGCGTGAGGTGAGCCTGGCCTCACGCTGTCTCTGTGTGCGGCCCAGACAGAACGGGCAGGGATGCAGCGAGGTTTCGTGGGTGCTCCCAGCGGTGCGGGATCCAGCCCCAGGGGCGTTGGATGCTGCAGTTCCTGATGGCTTTAAAAAAAAAAAAAAAAAAAAAGGTTTGAAAATATAAAAAGGAAGAAGGTGGGGTGAGTGGGAAGAGAAAGGAAGGGAGGAGGGTGGCCCGGTATGCTGCTCTGGTTCTGGGAGGCGGATGCCTCAGTCGAGCGTGGCTGCTGGAGAAGCAGAGCGAGAAAAGGAAGGAAGGCGGCGAGCCACCACCTCGGCGCTGGGCGAAGGTAGCCAAGTCTCAGAAACGGAGAGCAGGGAAGAGCATCTCCCTTCTCCTTCTCCCCCCACCAGAGTACGAGAAAAATAAAAATATAAGCCAGTTTAGCAGCTTGGTACTGCACCTCTACTCCTGCGCGCGCGCGCACACACACACACACACTCACACACACACGAGAGAACACGCAAAAACAAAGCGGGAGGTGCGGGGGTTGGGGTGGGAAAAAGTCAACAGCCCAGGCGCATCTCTCCAGCGTGGCCTGGGCGCAAGGGTCTCCGGGGCCCGCAGCCTCGGAACGCGAAGGGAGGGGGTTTCTCTCGGCTCCCCTCCCTCGTTTCCCTTTCCTCCAATCGCGCGCAGCCGCCTCCCTCACCCCCTGCGCCCCTGGGCCGAGGGACTGCACCACCTGCCTCCAGCCTCCGCCCCCTCCTCTGCGCGGCCGGGCCTGGCGGGCGCTAGAGCCGGTAGACCGGCTCCCCCCGCAAATCTGCAAGGCGCTGGGAGCAAATGAGGAGCGCGGGTCGGGCCAGTCTCGGGTTCTCGCTTGTAAACTTTATTGTAACTCTTCCGCCCTTTTCAGGCGCAGACAACAGAACAAAGTATAGAGGAACAACAAAATATATAATTAGCCCTCCCTCCCCCCAATAAAGCAATTCACGGATACAGGATACATTCTCTTCACAGTAAACCTAAGAACACTTTTAACAATTGCCCACAGCGCGCATGCTAACTAAAGTAACCTCTTTTGAGAAAACACTTAAGACGAAATTGTCAAACCAAAGCGGCGGGAGAGAGAGAGAGAGAGAAAGAGAGAGAAAAGAGAGGGAGGGAGACAGAAAGAATTACGGCGTGAATAGGCAGTTTCATGTTGTTGGGAGAACTTAGCAGAAATCGGTACCTCGGTCATTACAAAGAAGCACGTTCAAAGGAAAAAAAGACCATTGCACAGGGAGGCTTTTTACACGGGGCGGGGGCGGGGGGGGTGCTCAGCCAGGCCGCAGCCGCTCACCCTCGCAGGGCGAGGGAGTCCATGCTTAAAATCCTTTTCTTTCCCCCTGGCCCCCAAGAGAAGGGAAGGAGATCCACGGTAGCTCACACACAGAAGCTATTACGAGATACTACCACTAGCGGGGACTGGCGCGGCGGGGACGCTGCGGTGGGAGGCCAGGCTCCGGGCCCCGCTCGCGGGGCCGGAGCTCTCTCGGGCGGGGGCGGGTGACGGTGGCGCGGTCGGGGGACCGGCGGCCCAGGGCGGCCGCGGCCCTGGCAGTCCCAGCTGGAGCCTACTTCTTGTCGCCCTTCTGCGCGTCGCCCTCGTCCGCCGCCTCCGGGGCCCGCTCCAGCTTCTGTTTCTCCAGCTCCTCCTGCTCGCATTTGCTGCTGGGGAACTTGTCTTTGTTGTTCTCTTTTTTCCACTTCATCCTCCGGTTCTGGAACCAGATTTTGACCTGTCTCTCTGTCAGTCCCAGCGCATGCGATACCTCGATCCGCCGCTTGCGAGTCAGATAGGGATTAAATAGGAACTCCTTCTCCAGCTCCAGGGTCTGGTAGCGGCTGTAGGTCTGTCGGCCTCGCCTGCGTCCGGCGGCTGCTGGGAATAGGGGAAAGGGCGAGACAGAGGGGAGGGGAGGGTGGGGGAGGGGGCAGAGACGGAGAAGGTTGGAAGATTCGTGAACCAGCCTAGGAGACCAGTATAATAAGGGCAAGGGACCTTCTACCCCGCGCAGGGGCGGGGGCGCTGGGAGGCCGCGGTCAGTGGAGGGGGGGGGTGAGGGGGATCAGCCACCACTGAATCTAAGGGAGCCAGAAAGGGGTCCCCCCTCCCCTGGTAACCAGCTCCAGAGAGTTGGGCGGGGGTGGTTGAATCTATTAAAAGTGCCATAAACTTTAGAAGGAAGGATGTGAAGGAGGGGGAAAAATAAGAATAAAAAAAGCCGGGATGGGGACGAATGGACCCACCTTGAAAAGCCCCCAGAGCCTCTGCCCCAGAAGAAAAGTTTCTTCAGGGTAATTAAACTATAAAGCAATTGAGAAGTGCAAAAGTTGAGCGCCCCCACTCCCACCACCCTTTCTCCACTACCCCCCATAAAACAGTAAAAGGGGAAAAAAGGAGGGGAAGAAGAAAAGTCGGGCAGGGTGAGGGGTTTATGGATTCAGGAAATGTCGCTTAGCGACCTCCTTCAAGGGAAACAAAAAGAAGAAAAGGAAGGGAAGGGAGGAAGGAAGGAACGAAGGGGGAGGCTATCTGAAACGGAGCGAGCACGTCTTCCAGGAGCTGGGGACACCAATGCCCGGCCTGCCCGGCCCCCTGCCCTGCCTGGGCCCCGGGTCTCCTTCCTCCCCCGCCCCCCGCCGGCCCCCGACGCGAGCTCACCTTGCGGGCGCATCCAGGGGAAGAGCTGTGTGGGCGACGGGCTCTGCTCGGACCCCTCGGCCTCCTCTCCCAGGCCGCTGGCGGCGGCGAGCTTGCAGTCGGCGTACTGCACCAGGTCTGGATCCTGCGCACCGAACAGGCTTTGCCGCTGCAGCGGGTCGTAGCCGTAGAAGTTGCCCGGGTCCCCGTGGCAGGCCACCGCGCACGGGTTCTGCTGGTAGGGAGCCGTGGACAGCGAAGACGGCCCGTGGTAGAACTCCTGGATTTGCGACGGGTGCTGGAAGCTACCGCCGCTGCTGGGACCGTACACCACGGTGGGTCGGCCGCCCAGGTCCTGGGCGAAGCCGCAGTCATAATAATTGGGGCGCAGGGACTCCCCGGTTTTGTATTTGGAGAACAGTGAGTTGACGAAATAAGAGCTCATTTTATTGAATTTTGAGGCGGCGGCGGCGGCGGCGGCTGTAGTTGGGGGCTGTTGGGGAGGGGGTGGGGAGGGGGAAAGGGAGGGAGAGAGAGAGAAAAAAACGCGGATTCGCCGGCTCCTAGTCACCCTCGCCAGGAAAGGAGACGGGAAGGGAGGAGGTGGGGGAAAGAAAAGAAAGAAAAGGCGAAGAAGATCTCGAAGCCACCACACTTTTTGTGATTTCCAGGAATAGAAAAGGACAGCGAAGCCTCCAAAAGTCTAAGCTTGCATGGCAGCCGCGGCTCGCTCGCCCTCCCCCCACCCCCCACCCCCCACACAAAAATATACCGCCACTTAAAGAGGTCCTCGCTTTACATTTCGAAGAAGGGATGCCAGTTCATAAACAGTTTTCGGTGATTTACTTCCCTGCAAATGAGTTGTTTCATATTTTGCACTGTCTTTTCATGATCATTTGCATCCATTAGAGACCCCGCATCCTATTGGCTTCTCCGTACTCCTCCCGGACAGAACGCAGAGCGAGGGTGAGAGCGAGAGAGAGCGAGCGAGAGAGAGAGCGAGAGCAGAGAGCGCCAGGGAGTGAGGAGAGAGCGGAAAAAAAAAGGAGGGGAAGGGAAAAAAAAAAAAAAAACACCCAGGGAGAGAGAGGGGGAGAGGGGGAGAGAGGGGGGAAGGAGAGGGGGGGAGAGAGAATGAATACGGATTAAATCTGTTTAACTACCTACATTAATGAGATATCTCTTGCCTCACAACAAATCAAATACCTTCGCAGACCACCCCCAAAGACTGATGTGGGGGAGTCACGGAAAAAAACACGCACACACATACACAACGCGCCAGGCGTAGGCACGCTGTTAATTTCGCGATTTTAACGAGGCAGTTGGAGTCTTTTTAAATGTCAGGGTCGCTTCGGAAAAATGTAAAAGAACACGGTTTAATTGCGCCGAGTTTTAAAAGGTCCTATAAATGTAATTGGTATTTTAATACAAGTTATCAAATCATACAGCTTCCTCTCCTAAACATATTTTCAAACAAACGAGGTAGTCATATTTAAAGCTTTAATGATCAATTTCCTTATTATTGATAAAGGTTTAACTATCGTGTGGAGGGAATTGGCTGGGTAACCGGCCCCCAAAAAAACGGCTGTAAACTCTTTAACAAACTATAAAACGCAATAAAGCCGAGTCTGTTGTTGTTTATGCCGCAGCGCATAAAAGCTGTTAGCATTTTACGAGTTCTTTCCTCTACAGCTATAAAACTGCAGCTTCGATCGCCCCCGCCGCCCGACTGCAGCACGGTGGGGGTGACAAAGCCGAAATGAGAATGATTATGAGTTTTTTTTTTTTCGGTGCAAACGGTGACTTTTCTGAGATTTTTCCGCCTTCTTCAGCTGTGGGAGCACCTGCCCCCACTCCCTCTCTTAAGCCCCCAAAGTAGCCCTCTCTGCCCCACCCAGGCCACTCACCAACTTTCCTTCATTAAACAAACAAGGTTTTTCTTTGGAGAAGGGATCCAGGAGGGCTTGAGGAGGCATCCGGAGGAAGAGCTGAAACTTTCTGGTTAATGGGCAGTGGAGAAATCCTGAACAAAGCTCACCCCGCAACTCATTCTGCAGTTTAACATAACCTTGGGTAGCCTGGGAAGGGGGTGCTAGAATGAGGAATGGGTCTCTAGAAGGCACTGAGGCCCAGTAAGCAAGACTTCAGGAGACCAACTCTGTGTGATGGGAGAGGGGCCTGATGCCACCACCAGGATACCACCAGCTGGGCTGCCCTAGTCCTGCGCCCAGGCCTTGGGACCCAGTAACCACGCCCAACTGGCTCCCAACCTTCTCAGGCCAGCTCACTACACCTTCCACATCACCACTAGGTGAGAGGGCCCCACCAGGCCCATCAGCACATCAGAGCCAGGGAAGAGCAACTGAGGCTGCCGTCCTGGAGCCTGGCCTCGGCGCCTACTGTCCTATGCCTTGCTTCCTCTGCCCTGGGCAGTGACTGCAGAGGGTGTGTGGGGAGGGGCACCTTTTAGCCTTCGCTGTCCTTTCAGCCACTGGCCCGGCCTCGCCTGACCTTGGGGTGGAGGGATTTGGATACAGCAAGGCCAGAGTCCCCCATGTTCTCTCCTTTCCCCTTGGGCGCCTCTAGTTAAACCTAGCTCTCCCTCCAGATATAAGGACCTAGGGCCTGAAACACAGAATGCAGAACCCAGCTGACTGGATGCCACCCTGTCTTGCCAGTTGCCTTTGCCAGCCTAGTGGGCCTAGTGACAGTGATGGCCAAGCTTTAGAAGGCCCCAAACTCCTCAGTTCAAACCAATGGCTTCCTGAAGAGGCTCCTTGACCAAGGAAAGGAAAGAAGGGAGACAGAGAGACATTTTCTAGCAACAAAGGTGGAGGCTTTACAAATACATTCAGTCTATTGTTTATTCATGAGAGAGAGGCTTGCTTTTGGAGGGGTCTTTTGGGGGGTTCCATTCATCCCCCCCTTTGTAAAAATGAAACCTATTACCTCTTCTAAGGGGAAGGTACCAGTGGGGCCACTTGATCCTTCAAAAGTGAATCTGAAGACTGAAGAGGGGCTGATAGGGAAAGGGAGAAAGGAGAGGAGCAAACCAGGGTCTTGAATGTTCAGCGCCAGGCTGAGGGGGGTGGTGAGGCAGCGGGAGACAGAGTTAAGTTGTTGCCGAAGCGAACATTTTTATCAAGTGCAGGGGATTTTATGGTCATGATTTGAGGACTCACCGGTGAGGTAGAAATTCAATGGCTTGTTCTAAATCATCCCTACACCGTGCCAGAAATTCCTGATGGAAGGAAAATGTTTCTATTATAAGAAAAAACAAGAAAGAGCGAGGAGATAATTTATAAACACCCAACGGAGCGCAGATTTATTAGAGAAACTCAAGTTGAGAAACTCCGCTTTCTGCTTCGCACCCGGCTCAGGGGGAGGAGAGGCGAGGCTACAGAGTGGCTAATTTTAAGGAGAAGGGGGGCATCTATTTTTCGCGCACGTTTGTCCGACATGGGGAGCAAGGATCGGGCCGGGCCCGGTGGGGAGGAAATGGGAGATTTGGAATCTAAGGGGCTATATGGGCAGGGGCTGACAGCGCCGCGGGTCACCAAAGGAAAAACGCCTGGAGTCCAGGCCTCCAGCTGCTAACTTGAGAAGGGACCGGTGCTCTCCAGGTCTGCCTGGGGCCGGGGCCAGGGCGCACGGAGCCAGAGCTCTCACCTGGAAACCACCGGACGCGGAGAGAACCCGAGCCCCTGCTTCCTGCACTGCGCCTGTCCCCACAGCCATGCAGAAAACGCACTCTTTTCTGGCGGCCCAACTTGGCCCAGAACTACTCAGGAAATACCCGAGCCTTTCGCACCTCGCCGTCCTGGGGAGCCCCTGCCCCAGCCTGGGTCGCTCGGCGCCGCCCCGCCCAGCCCCGGCCACATACAAAGGCTCTGGAGCCTCGGTCCTTGTCGAGCCGCACCGCCGGCTCTGGGCACCTCCGAATCCCCGGCCAAAGCCACGGATCCGTTCCCCCATAGTGCCCCTATCCCCAACCCGGCCTGGCTCACCCGGTTCCCTCTCCCGCTGATCTTGCAGCAGCCTGGGGCGGCTTCCTCTCCATCCGACCTGCTTCTGCCGGCTCGCCCCTCTCACCTGACCTACTCACCGGCATCCGCAGGCATTCCTCTCGCCCCCATCCTGGAAAATCTCATTATTCTGAACCAATCCTCCTCTTTTATTTGGATCCACTGGTCCAATAATTACTATTATTCCCCATTTTCATGCACTTGTGGTCCCACGGAACATAGAAACTGGGTGAGAAGCCCTGAGCCCTTCTGGGGGAAATCCGAAAAAAAAAAAAAAAGATCATTTGAGGAGAGGAGGTCAATCAACATCACTATATCTGAAATCTATAAAATGGGGGAAACGGCCATAATGAACCCTATTTTTATTCTGGCCAAATAATTCATGACTTTTGGTAGTGCTCAATTCATAGATTTCTGGGCCGACCGAGATGCGAGGTGCAGCCGCGGGCGCCCGAAGCCGCCGCACCGGGGATTTTTCACGTGGAGCAAGGATGCCATCTAGCGGCCGTGTTGAGGAAAGGCGCCGCCGCCACCGCTCCCTCCTGCCTCTCCGAGAGCCAGCCACTGCGCCAACAACCCCGAGAAACTTTCAATATTAACCTAAAAGGGGAGGAAAACAAGAGCGGGCGAACGGGAAGGCGTCGGAAATTAGGAAATGGTTCATGAAATTGTGCAGTTACGTTAAAGATTTAAAAAAGAGAGAGAGGAATAAAAAGAGAGAGGATGGGAAGGGGAAAAGAAGTCAGCTTCTCTCTCTCTCACCCCCCACCTCAAGCCCTTAATTTCGGGCGGAGACGGCCGAGCAGTGCGCCTCCTACGGCCCCTAAAATAGGGAGCCGAACACTTTTCAAACCCGATTGTTGCAAATTCTGAGGAAAAACAATTGGGCTTTCTGTGGGGGGAGAGGAGGCCCGAGAGGGTGGGACAAAACTGTAAAAGGATCAAGAGGCTGCTCGCGCCCAGACGTCTGGCCCCGCCGGACCTGCGTGTGTGTGTGTGTGTGTGTGTGCATGCCCGCGCGTGTGTGCAGGGGGCTTTTCTTTATGACGCCCGATGGAGGGGGGGGGCGCTTACGAAGAACAAAGACTAGGGTCTCAGTTGCGTTCTGTGAAGCATTTGTGACAACAAAGTGTTCTTCCCTCGCCCCTCCCTCCTCGCCCCTCTTTGCCCCCTGGGGCCCCCCCGGAAACCCCGCGCTTCGCGCTCCGGGCGGGTGTGGGTGGGGGCGGCCGAGCCAAGCCCACCCATTCGCCCGCCAGGCCCGGAGCACAGGCCCAGCTGTGGCTCTCTCAGCTCCGGAAAGTTTCCCCTCACTGTTTGCTTTGCTGCTGTTTAGTTTCTTAACCTTCAGAAATTTATACGCTATAAACTTTTATAGCGGTCATATTCTTTTATTGCTGCGCACACGGCATTGAATTCCTCTCCCGGCTTCTCTCTGGCTCGCACTCTCCCGGTCCCCCTCTCTGAATCTCTCTCTTTTATTACAGCAGATTTCCCCATCTCCGGCTTCCGAGCCTCTGCATCTTCGCCTTTGTTTGTCTTTAAAGAAGCCACCCGGGGTTGGGGACCCAGACGCCGCCGCCCGAGGCTTCCCGGGGCGCCCTCTCCCCCCTCTACCCGGCAGCACTCCGTTCAGTTCCTGCCTCACTTTTTGCGTTTCCTTTTGGCGGAATCTGGCCTTCTCGGCTCCGTCTCCGCTCAGGCTGGCTCCCGGGAGCCCAGAATGGGGAGGGAGCCTAGTCTACGCAAGCTCTGAAGGCAGATTCACTTGATATACCGACTGGAACCCTCGGAGGAGGAGGCGGGTTGGGGCCCCGGCGTACCAGGAGCTTCGCGTTCTCCTGCCTCCGGCTGTCTCTCCAATCGTGCGTTCGCTGGAGAGGGGTAGGCCTGGCCTTTTCGCTTCCAGGCCGCTTTCACAAGGGCCAGGCTTTGTCCCCACCTCTATCCCAACCTCAGGGTCTCCGCGGACTGCAGCGCCGCTGGGTGGGCCCGGTGGGAGGCTCCGGCAGGAGTCCGGCGCCCAAGAGCCAGCCCGGCAGAAGCGGAATCCCAGCGCCTGGATGAGAACCGCCTGGCTGCCGACAACAGCGCTCCTCATCTGAGGCTCTGGTGGTGGACGCCGCAGTCTGAGAGGGACAGAAAGGTGCCTTTTGAAACCGAATTTAGTTTTGGGATCCGATTGGGGAAGGGATTCCCACCCCCTGCCCCGCCTCAACCATTTCTGTTCGACACACAACCGTCTCTCCCAGCCTGTAGGAGCTGCCTCCCCAGACCCCACTCCCACCAAACTCCACCCGCGTTACACCAAGGCTGCTACCCCGAGACTCAGACTGGAGTCTCAGACTCCGGGTGGGGATTGAAAACCTGGGGTTCACTCTTTTTGAAGGGTGGAAGAAAGGACAGCCTGGCCTTGTGGAGGCCTCTATTTGCATCCTGTCACTCTGCTGCAGGGAAGAGCAGAAAGAAGTTACTGCTCTCTCCACTTGCTTGACATTTTCAAGTGGCCAAACCAAGGTACCTTTCTCAGCCAGCTGAGAGAGGACCTGCTTCCAGGCGTGGCAGGGCAACCTTGCCTTTCCTCTGGCTCTGGAGATGGTGGGGAAGTCTCCAGTGTAACTTGAGGAAGGTCTCGTTGCTCCCTGCAGACCCAGACCCCATCTCTAATCTTTCTTTCCTTTTCTTCCCCTCCAGTCTCCCAGCCCTCCTGTTGGAAGGTTCTTCTCAGTTTAAGCAGAGGTCTTGGGTCCAGACCAGCTCTCAGCTCCTGCAGGAAGCCCACCCTACAAGGTCTAAGGAGAAATCTCTTGGGCACAGGACTTTCTCTTTTTTTCCAAGCCACCCCCTTGGAACTAGCACCTCTACTTCTGGCCAGGTGAGGAGAGCCCACACAGAATGACACACGAGAGGCTTATTGTCTAGAGTGATATATATATTTTTTGTTTTTTGTTTTTTTTTCTTCCAAAACAATCAGAGCTCTAAGCCCCTCACCCTCCCCACTCCCACCCAAAACCCTCCCTTGTAAGCGACAACTGAAAACAGGCGAGACAATCACCCCCAAAGAAATCACAAGACACAGCACAATTTCACGACTGCCACCGACGAAGCAAAAAAAGTTCTACTGGAATGTCCCCTTGCAGGGTCGGGAGAAGCAGGAGCCAGAGTCTATGAATTGAGGGGAGGGTGGAAAGGTGGGGAAGCAGGGGGAGGAAAGGAAGCAGAGAGGAAGCCCTAGTCTAATGCTTAGGTGCGATTTCGGCCTATTTCCTTAGCAAGCGGGACTGCTCCCCAGAAGCGTGCGCGCGCAGGTCGCCATCCAGGCGGGTCTCTGCGCTTTTGCGGTGAAGCGGCAGCTGCCAAGCCCGAGGCTCCTCCGCAGGGGTCGGACTGGGCAGGATTGGAGGAGTAAGTCAAGCTCCCGCGAGCCCAGAGTTTTTGCTCCTCCCTGTCTTCCACGACTTGCTCTGGAGAGGAGCCCGGGAATCGATGCACAATAAATTCTCCATCGGGTTCTCCTGACCTGGCTTTCCCGCCTAAGGAGGACGAGAGCTAGCAGAGGATGCAGGGTTGGGGCGGCGGGGGGGGNGGGGGGGGGTCTACAAGGGCGACTTGACTCGCTGGTGCAAGGTGGACTGGCCGAACAGAGTTGATTTCAGAGCTGGGGAGGATGCAGAAGAATGCAGCAGGGCCGGTGTCAAGCAAGAGAAGCCACAGTCTCTGTCAAGCAGGGCACAGATGAACGGGAGGATGACACTGTCAAGGCTTATGACCCACGATCTGACCTCCTTTTGTTGGAAGGATAGGAAAACAACATGCAGAATTAAACATTTCCTGCAGCAAAACGTGTATATGTGGACTACTTTCATAAAACCTAAGAGACTCTCATAAGACCACCGCTGCCTTTGCTTGCCCTTTGTAGCCCACCAGCTGGGGAACTGAGTTTATCCCATTTGGCCTTGAGTCCATGCCTGGGCATAGTTAAGGATTCCGTGGGGGGGATGGTGTGATGCTGGGCCCCTTGAACTGCAGCGCCTCATTCAGGAATGTGTCTCAAGACATCTTCTTGGTGTGTATTGCATTAGGGGTAGACCCTGGACTTTCCTGACAGTCGAGGGGCTATTCTGCCAGATGTGGGGTGTGATAGCACTTGGGGTGTCACTTTGAGTGTTGACTGTGGGCTTTTCCCATTGTTACTGTGAGCTCCAGGCTTCATGCAGGCGGGCATCTGTTGGGCTGTGTGCAGTTGGAGTGTCCCCGGGTGACTTTGGGATAGGTGTGTGGGAAGGAACAGGCAGGTTGGAAGTGAGGAACTGGGGTTGCCCAGAAAAATTAGGAGGGTTACTAGGGACTCTACTAGGGGTTGTCTTTCCTTGTGGCCCATCACCTTCTTAGGAATCAACTACATCTACCTTCTAAATCAATGAGAACTCCTCCTGAGACCCAGGGAGAAGAGAAGGACAGGTGAGGGCAAAGGAAAGGAGAGAGCCTCTAGATACAGAAAAGAACTTCGAAGAGAAAGATCCCCTTCCCCATTCACTAGAATACCTCCCAGACGGCACTGGCTCTGCAGCTATCACTTATAAATAAGTGTGAGACGGAGAAGGGGTGGGGTGGGCTAGGGGAATCTTTACTCTTTGCCCTGTTCCTTATTCATTTTCTTCATTTTCATCCGCCGGTTCTGAAACCAGATTTTGACTTGTCTCTCACTCAGATTGAGGAGTCTGGCCACTTCGTGCCTACGGTCCCTGGTGAGGTACATATTGAACAGAAACTCCTTCTCTAGCTCCAGCGTCTGGTATTTGGTGTAGGGACAGCGCTTTTTCCGGGAAGAGCGAGCGTGCAGCCAGTTGGCGGAGGGGTTGGCTGAAAGAGAAGCAGCGATAGAATCAAAGAAAAGAAAGGGGGTGAAGGGCCCCTGTGTTCTCCTTCCAAGAGGGTGCCCCTTTGGTCTCCACTCCCCATTTTTATTAGAGAAAGGGCCACCTGGGCCTTCAGCTCCCAGAAAGGGTCTCAGAGATGGGCCAGGAGCTGCTATAGAAACCTCCAGGTGAGAGAGTTTTGGACAGGATAGAGCCAAACCTGTGCCAGGCATCCCACAACTTCCAAAGGTTTGCCTGCCCCAGGCCCTCTCTGAGTCTCTTTCTCGGCTTGGGTCAGAACTGGTTAGGATTCAGGTCAGAGCCCAGCCTGGCTAAAGCCCCCTCCCCCACCAGCTCTACAAGACTAATGAGGTGGCTAGTTGACCAGAGTACTGGCTCTAAGTCTGAGAGGTAAGAGAAAGTCCGAGCTGGGAGAAAGGAGAGTGGCTTCTGCTCAGCCAAACTGAGGGACCTCCTGGCCCTCCAGTCCAGTTGAGTGCTCCCTCCTGTCTGATCACAAGCTTGGGTCTCTTGGCCACATGGCAGCAGGCATATGTGTCTATGTGATATTTCGCCACCCACCCCACCCCCAACACCACACACCACAAATATGGTTTGCATTTAGAGACACAAACATTCAGCACACTCCAATTCACATGCAACCCAATTACAACCATTTATCACCTCCAGCCTGTGGACAAGAGAGCGCTGGGGGCTCACAGATAACTTATGGTTGCAATAGTCTCTGTTTCCGCTCCTGCTCATCTCGCAGTTTGGTTAAAGCAAGTTCAGGGAAATTGGGAAGCAAGATTGCTCCAGTCCCAAGGTGGGGAGCCATGGATCATGTGGGGGTAACAGAAGTCAATCACAGCACACCTAAATCCAACTGGCTCCACCCGGTGAGAGGGGACAGAGAAAGGGGTGATTGAGGGGAAGTGGGGGATAAACAGGAAACAAAAATATATACAGGCTTCTCTTCTCCTTACCCCTGAACTCAGAAAGGTTGCCAAATAAAGCAGTTAATTAAAAATAGCAGCCACCCTCTGCTAGATTCCTTCACCCCAAATGAAAAGCACTGAATATTTTTTTAAAGTAATAATAATCTGGTTCATCCTCCACTAAGTACCCTGTCTTACCAATTTGCAGTGCTATTTCCTTAATGTGATTGCCTGGGATGGGACCCGCAGCCACATTAAATATGAAAGAGGAAAAAAAAAACTGTTAATAATTGATCCTAGCCAAACTGCTGCCTTGCAATAATGGACTTTCCAGGCAGAGTTTGGGGGCCTGGGGTGGGGGGGGTCTGCTTGGGTGTGAGCAGGGAGGCTTTGGGAAGAGCCGGGTATTACCCAAATGTCAGCTCTTGTGATCCCACCTGACAGGTTGGAAGGGGTGACCTGAGGGAGTAGGGCAGCTCTCTTTCCTCCAGCAGGCAATACACCCCCAAAGGACCTGTGGGCCACTCTGATAGTGGGAAATGCGGCAGGGCAAGCAGAGACTTAAAAAATCTGACCCTCACTCTTGAAAAAGAGTAAGGGGTGAGGACTTGTCCCCACCAGCCTGCAGGTTATTGTTTGGGGCCTAACAGCTCCGACCAACTTGCCCTTCTCAGCCTTAAAAAACGAAAAATCCGAGACTCTTTCTGATCCCCTTAGGGAGCAGCACCTCCTGGAAATTAGTCAGACTGGGGTTCCTGGAGGGGGTGCATTTGGAGGGGTGGGAGACGGTGAGAAACTACCTTCCGAGGATAAAGTTCTCCGCCTCTCAGCAAGCCTCTCTTCCCCCCACCCTTCCTCTCCCCAGGGTCCTTTGGGGATCTCTCTCCACGCCGCGGGTCGGCCCTGAAGTTCGGAAGCGATTCCTCGACTCCCCGCGAGGCGGACAGCTCCGGCTGGGGCTAGGGAGCCCTGCGGAGAGCAGCGGGAACCGCAGGAAAGGAAGCGGCAACCCGGGCGAGGATGCCAAAGGAGGGGAGGGGGCGACCGGAGGAAAAGCTCCTGGGGAGGGGCCGGCGCATCCCCGGAGGGGGCTTAGCCTCTGGGTCCTGGGCTCCCCCCGCCCCTCCCGGCGCCGGCTGCGGACCCCGAGCGGCTACTGAGCGAGATCTGCTAGGAACAATCCTCCGCCAAGCTGTTGCATCGCAAATAAAATCCTAATGAGCCCCCTCCCACTTCCCCTTGGCCGGCTTTTACGGTGTGCGCGTGGCGCGGGGAGCCCTGCCAGCCGTACAGGGCTTCCCGGCGCGCTCCCGCCCTGGCCCGCGCGGCTCTCGGCCTCGCCGGCCACCTCCCCGGCCTCGCCAGCTCCTCTCCCAGCCGGCGGTCGTCGGCCTCTTCCCAGGCTTTCGGCCCGGGCCTCCGGGGGCGTGGGGGAAGGGAGGCCGAGAGAGCGGCGAGCTGGTCCCTGCGCCCCGGGTTCCCGCTGGACTTGACGGAGCGGGGCGGCGCGCCTCCGGCGGCCTCAGCCTCCCTTTCTGGGGCACCCAGCTGCCTCCCTTCCTTCCTCCGTCTTCCCTCCGCCCTCGCCTGCTCTCCGGCCATCGCCGCGGTTTCCCTTCACATTGTCCGCAGTTTATTGCCTCTCCCCTCCCCTCCCCCTCGCCTGGCCTTCGGCCTGGGTATTTCCTCACTTTTTATAACTTACTTTGATCCGGCCTCTCTTTGTCCTCGCTTCCTTCGCAAATTTTATTGTCCCCGTAGCCGGGCCTTTGATTAGACAGGACGGCCTCCCTGCCCGCCGAAGTTTCCAAACTGTACTCGGGCGTGCCCTGCTTCAGGAGCTCCCCAGGCGCGCCCAGCAGCGGCTCCGCCTTCACAGCCGCCTGGCCCTGCCCCGGAGCAGCTTCGCCGCGCGGCGCCGGCTCCAGCCAGGTGCGGAGGTACCTGCTCTCGGCCGGCGGGACGCCCTGGGGCTGGATGTAGGGGTGGTAGACGGACGGCAGGCTTCCGGACGCGTGCGGGCTCAGCGGCGCCCAGGATGCGCCGAACACCGGCGCTTTGGGCTGGAAGCTGCACGAGGGGAACTCCAGGTGCTCCGCGTGGCCCGGCTGCCGGGGGCTCGCGTACTGGCCGGAAGGAAACTTGGCTGGAGGCGCGTCCTCACTCTCGTGACTTATGATCGAGTCGACATAATAGCTGCTAAGCGTCCCAGAAATGGACATTCTCAGACATTATCCGGGCGCTCGCAGGGGGAAGGGAAACGCTCGCGCGCGGCGCTCAAGCCGGGAGAGGTGGCACCCGGACCGGTGTGAGGGCTTTCGGACGCGACCCCCCCAGCCCCCCACCCTCCCACCCCCACCCCCTGCTCAACTTCTCAGCCAACAAAGTACAGTGGAGCAGCCCGGCTCAGCGCTCCTTGCAAAATGATTGGTCAAAGTTTTTCCGACTGCCTGATAAAGCGTCAGCTCCGACATAAATCAATCGGGCGAGGGGGCTGCGCTCTCGCTGTCATACGTCCGCACCGCATTCCATATCGAGGATGGATTGTTTTATGCTGATGCAATGTGCTATCACGTCAGGGCTCCGGCGGCCACGTAACCTCAGCCCAAGCTGCCGGCCGCCCGCCCCCCACGCCCCCACCCCCGCTTTTGCAGGAAGGGGGGCAGTTCTCGACGTGGGGCTGCGGGGGCGGAGGAGAGGCGGAGGGAAAGCAGCGGGCTGCCTAGGGAGGGACGCTGGCTGTGGAGCCCTCTCCCCAGGCGGGTCCGAGAGGGAGCGCCGGACACAGGGAGGGAGAGAGCCCCTGCCAGGGGAGCGGCCCGAGAGGCCCGGGGCATAATTAAAGAAAGAGGTGGTCCCGGCCCCTTCACAAACACACCTCCACTCCACCCCGCCGGCCCTTTTCCTTTTCTCAGTCCCCTGACGCAATATGTTTATTAAACAATAGCGCGGCAGCAAGCCACTGGAGATGAAGGCAAGGGGATGGGGGAGAAGTTGGGATTTTATAGGAGGGGACTCTAACTAGTTTGGGAGGTTTGTAGGCCTGGGACTTTCTCCTGGCCCCTCAGTAGCTGAGGGAGAAGAGAAGGGAATAAAGGGGCCGGAGTGTCCAAAGATCCTGTCCTAAAATCTAGCTGTCTTGAAATTAGAGTCCGTATGAGGTTAAAGCGATTCATTAGGCAGGCCCTGGAAAGTTGAGCCTCCTAGAGTCCAGTACAACTAATCAAAGCTCCTTTAAATTTCTTGGGCCTCTCTCTGGCCTTGGTCAGAAGTGCACAGCTATTTGTCCTTTCCCCCACTGAATAACAGACCCTTAACACTGCCCAGGGGCAGCCGAACGAGAGAAAGGGTTAAGGGAAGTTCCCTAAGGCGTCAGCAGAGCAGAGCTGTGAGAAGGGGTCCAGAGTTATCTCCCCTTCCACCCAGTGGGGGAAGGAGGTCACTCCCGCGAGTTTCCGCCTCTCCTGACCGCTCTTGCCCGGCATTGCCCGCTCCGAAGGATTTCCAAACACGCTGTACTGGGCACCAGCATGGACTGGGAACCTGCGGGGTCAGTCTCCCGCCCTCCCGCCGCTTTTCCTCCTGCATATCCTTGCAAGGAGCTACCAAAGAGCCCACTGGATTGGTATCTACTCCGCGGCCCTGCGCCGGGGCTCCCCCGGGGCCCCCGGCCGGCTTCCTGGCCCATCTCCAGCCGTCGCTCCTCCGGCTTCTGTTCTCGGAGCTGTTGCTTCTGGTGGTGTGGGCGCTCAGGGAGGGGCGGCCCCTGGACAGACCCGCTTCTCTCCGGTCAGGTTTCAGGCAGGCTGGGGCCGATTTTCTTAGCAGTCTCCGACCCTGGGCCCTTGTAAGACAGGCTGTCCCAGTCCTGTCGTTTTAACAAAAGCGGGACCATTCTAATTTGCGGTTTTATCTTTTTGGCCATGCACCCTTCTGCCATGCAGAAGGCTGCGGATCACCTCCACATACGCACACACTCCCGCCCGCTTTTCTTTCCAAATGAAGCCATCTCGTGTCATTACGTGTGAAATACGAGGGCAAAGCGCCATATTTCTTCACATTATGGCGATTTCAAAATGATTTTTTAAAGATCAATGCCGGCGCCCAGCCGGCCCCCTCCTTTTCCACCCCAGCTCTCTGAGGGCGACAGCCCAGCAGATCCGGAACCAAACAGCGTGAAGATCTGCTTTTTCCATGGGACCCAAGTGGGAAAACAGAAATTCGATGCAAATTCTTCTAAGTAGCGTTTGGACGCTTGGGAAAGTCGAGGGAGCTCCCCTGACTCGCTAGCGGAAAATGCTGGGCACCAGGCGAATGAATCACAGTTATGGAAAAGCACCTGTTCTCCATTTGCCAGACCTATGCCGTCTGCTGTTGGCTTTACCTGTAATACAGATATTCTTCAGAAAGGAAAAGAAAAAAACACTCCTCTCCTACTATAAATAATGGTGTTATGAAGCATGGGGGGCTGAGTATATGACTTTCTGTAATATATAAATTAGGGCCCCAAAGGACATGAGGGCTGTGGCCAGGGACTTTTTTATTTATGGCAAAGCCACAGCGCACGGGGCTATTCTTAAGACCCAGGCTGTGCAGACGCTGGGCTCCCCGCCCTTCTGGTTGCCATTCTGTCTCTGGCTTTGCCGCTGCCTCTCTTTGTGACAAGAGAGAAGTTGAGAGAGTCACTTAGTTTAGGGAAGAAGTTTGAGGAAGAATATTAGGCTCATGACCTGTGCCCTACAAGGGTGGAGTGTCCCAGCAGACAGGTTTGTGGACTGCTGTCTGTCTGGTGAGTTTCCCCTAACCCCTGTGGCTCTAGGGTGCTGGGTGAAGAGGGGACTCAGACCTCTTTTCTGAGACCAAAACTTAGCTTTTGCTCATAAACAAGCTGGAGGGTGGGAATAATTCCAAAATGACAGGTTTTGGAGGTCTTGTCATCTTCTCAGAAGAGGTGACTCTGGAGGGAAGAGAATGAACCAGCACTTAAGCCCTGGAGTCCGCACCCCAGCTCATCTCCTCCAAGTGGGGATCCAGATATACCAAGCAGTAAGTCCCACGTCAGCTAGGCTTTCTAGAAAGCACTGCTGCTCCAAATTGGAGCTCAATTTCGGCTCAGGCAAACGATTAAAGGGTCAGCTGAGAGGAAGCTCCTCGTCTGGGTGCTCTGAGGACCTGTGAACCGCCCCCCAAAACCTTGTTTTCTCTCCCAGACAATGATACCCACCATGAAGGAGAGAAGCAAATAGGATTGCGGCCCCTGGAGCCCAGCTTCCAGGGCTGCTTAATAGAGGGTTGCTTGAGTGGGGGTCACTTCGCCCTGAGACACCAAAATGCTCCCCACCTCCCCCCCAGCCGTAAAGAGATAGAAGGAAAACCCTCTCGAAGCCTCTTGCCATTCCCTGCACCGGAGCTGCGCCTGAACACAGCTGGGGCCAGTAGCTGACAGTTCCGGGGAAGGGCAGGCAGGGAAGAGCTGCAGCTTCTGCCCACAGTGGGGCCCAGAGCAGCCAAGAACCAAGAAGGAAGCCGAGGTGAGAAGATCAGAGGCCAACCCTGGCCAGGACCAGCCGGTGAGTGCCTGTGGTTTAAGGGCTGTTTTAGAAGGGCCCTTCACTCTGAGAGACAGAGAAAATCTAGACAGAGGGAAGGAAATAAAAGCAAGGAGAAAAACAAACAAAAAAAGAAGAACAGTAAGTGGAAAAGGGAGAAAGTTTTTTAATCAACAAGCTAAGCTGAAATCTATGCATGTGTATTTGAATAGATGTGTTTCCTGTACTATATTTCAAATCAATATTTCCATATGGGGAACCCAGCGTGCAAATGTGCTGTGCTCTATGCTGTGTACAGAATATGCAATAAATAAATCTGCCCAACTATAATACTAAATGTGTTTGGGCATTTGTATATAAGATCTAATGGTGCACATGTAAATGTGTATATGATTCTGCTCACATAAAAAGATCTATAACCCCAAAGCTTGTGTGTACATTTTCATAACCATCACACACTTATAGATAGGGCAAAAACTTGCATATCTGTGTACTTGAGCTGTGGCTATAAAACATTAGCTGATTCAGAAGCTTTACTATATTCAAGCAAAATATCCACAAACACGTGTGACCTAAGTCTGGATTCTTTTACAACTCCATTCTAAAATATTTCTGAGAGGTGAAGGAAATGCCTCAAATTGGCCCAGGGCAGGTTGTGAAATTTAGTGACTTTTTTGTCTGACCATGAAACCCTTTACTGCATCTCTTACCCAAAAACCACAGGGAGAGTGTACATCCTGTGATGCTTATATCATGGTCATGATGGACACAGGGATGAAGGCACAGTTCCTTGTGCACAAGTATGTCTCACACAAGTGTGAATCTGACCAGTGGTCAGAGATGAGTTGAATGTGAAAGCTCTCAGGTAACTGTAGAGGTCACACAAAAGGACTGCTGTGTACAATGAAATTAGGAAAGTCCCCTTGGCACCTGGAGTTTATTTTTTCTGAAGCACGATCAGAGTCCAGCCCCACTGTTGGAAAGAATGAGGTATGGGGACACTTGCTCCAGGGGGTGAAATCAAGAGTCCCCAGAACCTTCACTCTTTACATACAACAACCTCCAAAAGGAGCTGCATTCGATCTGCAAACATGGGTTCAACCCTTAGCGCTTCCACACCCTCCACATGGGGATTTTAATTGTAAAGTAACGAAATCTTCTCCCTAACCTCCCTCCAGGTTGTCAGAGGTGAAAAGAAGGACAGACAAAGAGGTCAGTGGCCCAATCACATCCCGGGAATTTCTAACTACCAGGAATATGGGAGGCCATGGGGTGGCTGACTCTTTGGGAGCCCGTATCCAGGAGGCCAAACGGGGTGGGCGGCAGGCGGGGCGGAAAGAGTTGAGCAGGTAGAAGGTTATTACGGAATTGCTTCCATAAAACCTGTGGCTGTTGTAAAACTCTCTGCTTTCCAAAGACTTTATTTCCTCCTCTCTCTCTAACATCCCCCTTTTTTCTTTTTACAGCACTGTTCCTGGGAGGGGGTGGCCAAGGGACACCAAGGGATGGAAGACAGTCAGGCTCTGAGTGGCTGGGCAGGTTCCTGAGAGGCTGAGAAGGAAGGTAAGGCAACAGGACGCTCCAGACCATCTTCACCCAGACCCGAGGATGAGGAAATGTCAGGACAGGGGGCTGCATTTCCTCCCAGGCTGAGGGTGGGTCTCCCAAGGACCTCCTCCACCCTAGCAGGGGCCCCTTATTCAGAGACACCCTTCGCCCTCCAAGTCAGCCCCG